CATCACTGTCATTAACAAAAGAGAGACTTTAAAGTTCGAGTACTCTTCTAGTTTTTGTTGAACCCATAGAACTCATCATCACTAGAGTCAGAATTTATGAAGCTCTGTTGCTCACAATCAGACATCACTTTTTTAGTCAGTAGTCGAATTATTGAAGGAATCCACAATCTACACCAGTTAAACAAGAGCTGCTGCAGATAATTCAATAACAAATCTAAAAAAGCCAGTAATGTCCACGCTGCCCTACTAGTAAATAATAGAAAAAAACCTCTGACAAAAAATGAGATATTGTACGGTAAATCAAACACACAGCAGACTAAGTAGCCTTTGAAGAATAAACTTCATACACGAAGGTAATGCTGTTCAAATATCCACTGATCCTAAAAAAAATGTGTCTGATCAACTAACAGATAACTGATCCATGGAAAGCTTCCTGATAATCACAGGCACATTCCCCATCACTTCCCCATGGGCTTCATTAAAAGACGGGTTGCCATTTGAAAACACACACCGACCTGTGATTAACAGCCAGGTGGTGCCATGTGGGGCCGGCAGTGTGCCGGCGGTGGTCTTCTGGGCAGCGTGGTGGTGGTGGCAGGTCTTCCCGGGCAGTGGGGGTGAGCAATCCGTCTCTCTGTGTGGCTGGCGGGTTAAAGCCCATGGCTCCTCCTCCTCCACACCTCTTCCCGTGAGTGGCACAGCTCTCACCTGCGCTGGGGGGGGGGGCAGAGCAGGGTGCACCTGTGCCGGCCAGGTGGTGCCATGTGGTGCAGGCGGCCGGCAGCATCCCAGGCGTCGGGCACAGACACATTCGCTCTATAAGACGCACAGACATTTCCCTTTTGAGGGGGAAAAAGTGTGTCTTATCGAGCGAAAAATACGTTAAGTGCTCTAAGCATTCCCAGTCAGGAAGAGGAAAGTATACAGGCTTGCTGCAGCCAGCAAGCAAGCCAATAATTTGGTACCATGGCTTCTTGGCCCATGTGTTTCTGGGTCTAGTCGTAGAGAGAATGATGGGAAGTATCTTCATCACATGCATATTTAGATGCTTCTGGCAAAAGAGACACAGACTGGTGGGAAGGAAGGAGAGGTAGGTTGTTTGAAGAAGCAGTTCATGTTTTAGGTCATTTGGACTGTAGATTGATGGGCCACTAGAACAGACCTGCTTTGAAGGACCAGGCCTGACTGGTTGGTTGCCAGGGCTCAAGCAGTTATGGAAGGCCTGCCATGAGAATTTGAAGGGACCTATCTTGGGGAGAGGGACTGCGGGTGGCACAGTGGTTTAAACTGCTGAGCTAGTTGATCGAAAGGTCGACAGTTCAAATCTGCAGATGGGGTGAGCTCCCCTTGCTTTGTCCCAGCTCCTGCCAGCCTTGCAGTTTGAAAGCTTATTAATGCAAGTAGATAAATAGGTACCACTTTGGTGGGAAGGTAACAGTGTTCTGTGCACCTCGGTGTTCAGTCATGCTGGCCACATGACCACCAAAACTGTCTGTGGACAAACGCTGGCTCCCTCGGCTAGGAAATGGAGATGAGCACCGCCCCCTAGAGTCAAACATGACTGGCCTTTAATGTCATGGGGAAACCTTTACCTTTTTAACATGGGGACTTAATTAGTGACATGGCTTTGTGAAGCAGAGTGGAATTGCTGGATTGGCTTGAAAAATAGGCCTGCTATGGGAATGGGCATATTTGCTGAAGAGACACGTGTAGTGTTTTGTTCTTATATTTGCTCAGGTGGATGTTTTGAACTCTTACTGCCTAGTGAGAGTTCAAACCAAACAGGATGCATTCTGTATTTTTACAGAAACAGGACCTGGGTTTATTTTTGGTCTAAGAAATCAAAACATTGGAGAGCAAGGACTTGTATTGTATTTGGTAACTAAAGAATAAACAACTGGCATTTTATAGCTAGTGGTAAATTTAGATTGCTTCTTTGAGCTACCTGATTTACTTAACAAATACATAAAACTCTACAAATCAGACAATATAGTCTACCACACCAATGTTTTTTAGATCCTTTTACAGTTCATGTACCTGTGTGCATAGACACAAAACTAGCTCACTCCTTGAAAGTTAACTGGCAGCCTTTTGTTAGATATCAGTCCTTTTCAGTTTTTTGGACTTCACTGGCTGCCTTTCCTGTATTCAAGACTTCTCCAGGTTCAAGTATTCCAAATCTCAATTTGCAGGGAGGGTCTTCTGAGCTTTCAGATGGAGTCTCTTTAGGTGCCAGAGGGATTGCTCTGCAACTCATGGTTTTCAGTTCTCCCTCCTCTTCCAAGTCTGCTAGTTACCATGACAGCTGGAACTAGTCAGCAGCCTTCATTTTCACCCAGAGTTAACATCTTGTTGGCTACTGCTCTCATAAGATTCGCTACACCTGCTTTAGATTTGGGCTGCAGAGAACCTTGACAGATCCTGTAGTATGGCTGAGCCTCCACCTGCCACTTTTTTTTTTTTTGGCCTGGCAGGCTGCCTCTCTTTCTTTCCTTCTTCCCCATGTGATGGCAAGGAGGTGCCATGTAGGTTGGGTCAGACATTCCCTTTCCTTGTCTGATCCCTCTTTGGGTTGCAAGGCCCTGACTGTTGCCTCAGCCAGTGCCCAGGACTTGCTGTTCAGGCTCTGGCCAAAGAACAAACAGGCTTTCTGGGTTGCCATGGCGATGCAGGCTGTGGGCAGAGGGTGGGGGAGAGAGCTTTGAGGAGACTGCCTTTGCAGGGCTTGTGAGGCCCTTTTGAAAGACTGCAGGATGGCCCGGGATTAGGGAGGGCAGCTGTGTAATCCCCAGAGCAGCTCTCCTAGTGCCACCCATCAGCTTCCCATTGCTCTTGGAGTCAGGTTGGGGGAGATCCTTTGAGAAGCATGGGGTATTCGCAGTCGGCTCTTGAGTCCTGCAGGTGGGAGCTAGAGTCTTGATTGCCTAGGAGCGAGATGGGAAGGCTGCTTCTCTCCCTGTTTGCTCTTTCCCACTCCAGGTTATCAAGGCTGCTGCATTACTGTTTGGATAGCCCTTCCCTCTCTGTTCAATGGCCATTTTTCCCAGCTTTCTTATAATGTTCTCTTTGTGTGTGGGCCAGGGCAGAGTTCTCCTCACCTGCCTGTCAGGGTGCTGAGAACATTGCGCCCTCAGACATCAGCTGGGAACAAGTTAAAGCAAATGGCAACTTCTGGCAACCAGAGTGCTCTTCAAGACCAAGCTGGACAGTTATGGATATTTAGGCTCCGTTAATCATTCATTATCTGCAGCTTGTCTGGCACTGGGAAATAAAGCTGGGACTAAAGGAACCTGTGTGTGTGAGTGATGTATGGATAAAGTCAATAGGATGGAGATCAGGGACTGTGAAAAATGGCTGGATTGAAAATCACATGCTCTTAACTACTGAAAATGGGACTTTTCTAAGAACAAATTATTTATAACTTTCTCCAGAACTATGAGGGTTAGGCACTTCTATTTATATATTAATAGCACAAAAGCTGTAATTTTCAAGACTGCAAGTATTGCTAGGTTTTGTATTTGTGGCTCTACCACAAGCTTTGTGTTCTGTCTCTGGGCTGTACTATATAGTACAGAAGAAGGTGCCCAGGCCAATCAGAGATGCCAGACACCATAGCCCTCTCTTTTCAAGACAGATTTCAGCTCTGCATCAACACTGCATATATCTAAATATACTGGCAATATGATTTAAAGCTGCATTGCTTGCCATCTGTATAAGCATCAGAAATATCCTTAGGCTGCACTTGGTTCTCAACTTCCTCCAGTGTTTTGCAGTGATCTTTGCTGACAAAATCTTACACTGGGTGGGGAAAAGTCTTTTCTTAGATTTGCTTGGAATTTACTGGTAAGAGGAAATGGTTGGTTGGAACCTGACAGAAGGCCAATATTTAAAATATCTATTTTCAGCTTGCAAAGGATGAATGTGGGCAGTTAGCAAAACTTGCAGATGACAAACACTGGTGAGCTAGGTTAGTGCAAGCAAGAGGAAATTGTTCTGAATAAATGTTTATTTAGTGGAAGAAAAAGTCAGGTGTACACTAAGTCACGCACACTCCTAAATTGTTTGGCTAGTTCTCCAATTCTTAAGGAGATTAATTGAACCTGAAGAAAGGTGAGTATTTGGCTTGGTGAAAAGTGGACCCAACATCTCATTGGATTAGTTCATCATGCTGACGTGACAGAAAAGCAACTGCTCTGGTTCTTATATCAAAGTTGTAATTGGGAAACCAATTACAGTTCTTGCTGGCTGTAGCTTTGGAAAGGAGGCCCCTCTTCTGTCTTATTTCCTGGATCTTCTGCACCACACTCTAGCATTACAATTTTAAATGCACTTGCATGTTAATTGCTTGAGAAAGAAAATCTAAACCAAAGATGGGCAGATGTTAGGCTTGTGGTATCTACTTTTATTTTTTACCAGGCTCTTGAGTTCCACCAGCTAGAACCTGGTACAAGGAAAGATTAAAGAGCTCTGATCCTAGGGATTTTGTTTTGAGCACCAAAACTGAATGGAGTCATGCCTCACAAAAATGCAATTCTGGTAAACCCAAGCTTTCTTAATTTCATCAGTTTAACTTGGAATGGGACTTTATCGCTGTTACTCTTGTTAAATAGTTGAAGTGAGAAATTCTTACCAATCTACTGCAAGTCACCCAGAGATCTACAAATAGATCCAGGTCTATCTTCTGCCTGTCTCCGATCTAAACAATCTACAAGAGGGGCAACATGCAACCAAGTGTCAGACTGCTTCTTTATTGTGTTCTGATTCCAAAGCTCTCAGCTGCTTCCCCATTCACATTTTCTTGTTGGTAACACTCCATGGGGATGCCTTTTTCCTCTTGTCATTGCACATTTCTATCACATTTTCCACCTTTCTGACAATCTTCCTAAGAGTTGTGGGGTTTGGACCTTTGAACCTTAGAAAGCTACCCAATGTTTAAGGGCACAGAATGTCCCAGATGTTGTCTAATAAACTCTGAGTGTGTGTGTGTGTTTCTGTGCCAGATGCCAGCCTGGACTGATTGGAGAGCACTGCCAGTTTCAGGACCCTTGTCACCAGTCACCCTGTGCGAATGGGGGCTCATGTGAGAGTAACCTGCGTGATGGAACTGTACACTACCAGTGCACCTGTGCAAAGGGCTTTCGAGGTGAGGATATACAGTGTGGTGATGTACAGAGATGTTTGACAAGCCTCCCATCATCCTGTTAGGGAACTGCCCTACTGGAGTGGGAATGCAGTTGAGGGTTCTCTGGAGAGGATGGACCCAGGTTGTGGGTGAGGAAATGGGTCTTTTGAGAGAAGATCAACATTTATCTGGACCCAGAGTTCACTAGGTACTCTGTCTTCCACATAGGTCAAGACTGCTCTCTGATTGATGCATGTGCCAGCAAGCCGTGTGTTAATGGTGGTCGCTGCACGAACTGGAATGGTCGCTACAATTGTACATGCCCTTCTGGCTATCAGGGTCGCAACTGCCGGACTGATGTGGATGAATGTCGTGTGCCTGGCCTGTGCCAACATGGGGGTACCTGCCTCAATACACCTGGTTCCTTCCGCTGTCAGTGCCAAGCAGGGTACACAGGACAGCTTTGTGAGAGCATCTCCACACCTTGTGCTCCCTCCCAGTGTCTCAATGGGGGCACTTGCCGTCAGACAGGCGAACTCAGCTATGAGTGTGCTTGTTTACCTGGTGAGTGAACAACTTGCAAATTGTGTCACTTAGCTCTGCTTCAGGGATATGGAGCCACAGGCCAAATCTGCCCCTTGTTGGGTCTTGGTTTGGCCTTCTAGAGTTCCCTAGAGAGCTATACTCTTCCACTAGCAGCACCCTACCCTACCCTGCCCCACCTCACCCCACGCCCAAGCACTGATCATTAGGTGGTTTCCTGATTTTTGTGCAGTTTTTCCCATATTCTAATAGGTTGAGTTGCCTCTCTGAAGGCTTAATAATGGGAAAAGCTTTTAAGTTATACTCTGCTGGTATTTTTTGTATGTTTGGCCCAACCCACTTTGCCTTCAGCCCCACCCACCAGTGAAATGCAGCTCTCCCCATAGCTTCTGCAAACTGAATTTTGTCCTTGGGTTCCTCACCTCTGTTCCACTGGATGGGAGTTAGGTGGAGTACTGGGCTGAAAGATTCAGGGTGAGACTTGGGGGTTCAAGATTCACTGTTTATTTTTTGTCTGTTTGAATATTTGTATCTTATGTTTTCATGTATTGTACCTTGCCCAGAGAGTTTAGTTATTTAACAGAAAATGAAATGAAATAAATACATGAATTAGGGCAACTGGGTGGTGTGCAGTGGCACTTGGACAAAAAGCACAGCCCTTTTCCTCGGCTAGAGTGTGCTGCATTTCATAGTTCTCCTCTCAGGAAGCTCATGGGAAGCTGTTGAGGACTTTGGTGGAGCAGGAAGGAAGCAATTCAGGCGGAGTTGGCAGGCAGCAGCTGTGGCTCCAGCTGTGCAAGCCAGAATACAGTAGAAAGTGCATCTTATTTTTTCTCCTTGTTCTAGTTAGAGATCTGGAGAGAAAAGGGGGCTTAGAATAAGAGAAGCATATTTTTCTACAAAGTTCAGCGACTCTGCCCCACATTGCAGAGTATAAGTTTAAGTCACCTGCAGTGTTGTCCCGTGCATGTGCCCTTTGCAGTAAACCCCACGGTGTCTAACTGGATGAGGTTACACTTGCTGGTTGCACATTAATGGCAGAACTGAAGTTGTTTGGAAACTTCTTATTTTTCTTTACTGAAGGTAATTTACTCCACAGTTACTGGACAAATTAAATTCCTCTCTTCCTTACCTAGGCTTCGAGGGACACAACTGTGAAATTAACATGGATGACTGTCCAGACCACATGTGCATGAATGGGGGCACTTGTGTGGATGGCGTCAACACCTACAACTGCCAGTGTCCTCCAGAATGGACAGGTACTGAGCAATCGGCCTAAGAACTAGAATGTAAATAGAACTGTCCAGGATTTTAGAGCTTAATGGGGAATGTGGGGAGCTGTTGAAATTAGTGCAAAACTGAGGCACTTTCTTTTCTCTACTACTTGCCATTGGCTGAACATTAGCCTCCAAGTTGGGGGTCTGACTGTAGAGAATGAAACATGGAATCTTTTCTTACTTCAGTGTTGGAAGAATTGGATCACTGAATGGAGAGCAAAGAGCAAGGGTAGCTCAGAGTGGGGGTCATGAAGAAATAGGGGGTGCAGCTTCGGGGGGCAGTCCTGTTTTTCAGGACATGCAGCCAAATTGTGTCCTCTTGATTACATCCTAGGCCAATTCTGCACCGAGGATGTGGATGAATGCCAGCTGCAGCCTAATGCCTGTCACAATGGGGGCACGTGCTTCAACACCAACGGAGGCCATACCTGTGTCTGTGTCAACGGCTGGACAGGAGAGAGCTGCAGTGAGAATATTGATGACTGTCAGAACGCTGTCTGCTTTCATGGCGCTACATGTCATGATCGCGTGGCTTCTTTCTATTGTGCTTGTCCTATGGGCAAGACAGGTAGGTGTCCATTACCTTGTCTAACATATCTGGGAAGCTTATTTTTTTCATTGCTTAAAAGGCTAGCAAATCAAGTTTTTTGCAGAAATGGGCAGTATTCTTAAAAGAATGGAGTGGATCTCTGAGAAATTGCATAGGGATGGTGCCTTTCTAAAATGAAAAGAGAGAGATGGCTAAGCACAATGAAGAAAGTACAGCAGTCAATGCCCCTTGTCCCATGAATTCCATCCCATTCTCTGCTCCCTGCTTGTAGGTACTGCTGTCATACAATTGCCGTTCTCTTCTAGGCCTCCTCTGTCACTTGGATGATGCCTGTGTCAGTAACCCTTGCCATGAGGATGCCATTTGTGACACCAACCCAATGAACGGCCGTGCCATCTGCACCTGTCCACCAGGATTCACTGGCGGAGCTTGTGATCAAGATGTGGATGAGTGTTCCATTGGTGAGAGTTACATCTTCCTTATCTCACAGACCCAAAAGGGAAGGAGGGTGGGTTGGTCTTGTGGGGAGGGTTTGAGATGGATTCTGGACTGCTCTTTGGGTTGGAATACTGGCATGGAAAACCCTTTTGAGAGTGACAAGTCCCTGTGGGTATGCCCTTCACATTCCTTCCTGGGTTTGTCCCTGAAGTGACAACTGAGGGGATGAAATTTTGGGCTGGCCAGCAATGTTCACTTTGTGTGTGTTTTGCCCTCACCCCCAGGAGCCAATCCATGTGAGCATTTTGGCAAATGTGTGAACACCCAAGGCTCTTTCCAGTGCCAGTGTGGCCGTGGCTATACAGGCCCACGCTGCGAGACAGACATCAATGAGTGCCTCTCCATGCCATGCCAGAATGATGCTACCTGCCTTGACCGCATTGGCGAGTTTACCTGCATCTGCATGTCAGGTGGGTTCTTTGCTCTACCTGATGAACCTGTGGAGGGAACAGAATATCTAGAGTGCAGCCTCTGATACTGTGGGCAATCTGAAATGTGGGGGAAGTAGGCAGGCAACTCAGTGGGGAAGAAGTGGGGTCAAATTCTTGCTGAAAGTGGGCTCACTGAGTGGGACTAGGTAAGCCACTTCTTTGGTTCAATTCACTCTTGAAAGTGAATGTTTCAATGACTTGCTTCAGGGCTTTGTGTGGGTTAAGTGCGTTAAAAGTGGTATGTAAATGACTGAAGACTGACCCTTGCTGTTGGACTGGCCGTTTGCTTCTTATCCAGGTACTTGTCTGCCTGGCGCCAACATATGCCTAGCCTGGCTCTGCACTCCAGGCACCAAGAGCATATATTTGAAAAAAAGACTTCGTTTTTGCAATTGATGTGTTTCAGACAACAGGACAGTAATTTTATCTTGGACTCTGACTCTTTTATGGCTCACTTGCTGTGCCTGTTTTTTATTATTTTTTAATCTGTGTGCAATTGGGAGGATGTTTTATTCACATTGTTTGTTCCTCCTTGATCTGCATTGTTCTGTGTGTGGTAATATATTCTCCGTACAAAAGATGTGAGGTAAAAATAAGAGATGGAGGGGAAAAGAAAAATAAGGGGAAATAGCTGGCTAGACTGTGGTAAGGATGTGTAAGAATCTAGCCTGAGCTTTTCCCTCCGCCTCCCCCTTATCGTGTGGATGCTTTTAGACTTTGTATTTCATGGAGGTACAGTAACAGCTCGTTTGATTAGTACTGTCACAACAAAAGGCCAATGCAGACTAAGGGGAACGGTTGAGGATGGGCAGTTTGGAGGAAAGTGGGACTGCAAATACCGGAACCTTCACGCAGGTCTTTGGGTGGGTAGGCTGCCATCCTCATCCCCCTCCCCCGCTGCCTTGGTGCGGCATTTCAGGGCTGTGGGGACGAGGTTAGAACTAGGCTGAGACCCTCACACACCGCTCTGGCACTGAAGCGAGTATACATATGGAGGAATCTTTGGAAAGTGAGAGATGGCTATGCAACTGTCCCTCCTCCTATTGTGGCAGTGCTATAGGACAGGGTGCTGGGTAAATCAGTACAATGTTCATACAGACAGTGGGAGTGCAGCATTGTGCTTGGAATATTAATGGTGGGGCCAGGCCGGCGGGTGATGTGAATTGGCTGTGCTTTGTGCTTCTGTTACCCCATATAGGGAGGAACATTCTCCTTGCTTGCTCACTCATTGGTTAATGCTGGCTTTTTAGAAAAACCTGGGGGAGGGGTGGGCACTGCTAGCTGGGGATGGCTTTGGACTAGGGGTTAGAAGACTTGGTTTTAGTATTGCACTTGTGCTCCAACCCAATATCACTGTGTTCCAGCACCATTCCCCTTGGGATCAGGATGCAGTGAGAGGTTTGCTGTATCCTGCTTAGATCACTGGGAACTGGCTCCAGAAGTTAGGTGCTGGCATATAATAGCATTCCTCTCTGAAACAATACCCTTCCCACAGCTGAAGCAGAAACCTTATAGTTTTTGATTGGGCTGTGGGCAGTTAGGTTTCTGATTGCAGAGTCTCCCTCAAAGGCAGCTTAGGAAGCAGTTCTAGAGAACTGCTGCTTGGCATGTATCCACAGTTCTGGAAACCCAAATCATTGTATGCGCTAATGTCTCTTCTCTGACTTTTGCATCCATATTGTGTTAAGTCCTGACTTCAGCAGTCTTCACAGTCCTTGCAGCTCCCATTCCTCTCCCTCTTTTCCAGCCTTAAATCTCAAGCCCAGTCATTGGAATAAACCGCAGTGCCACACTTCGTTGGCCAGACTGTCCTCACTCTTCCATGCGACTAGCTCCCCCACCCCTTCCACTGGCGCGCCTCCTAGGCTGATGCGGCGCTCCCAGTACTTGTACCTTTGCATTGTCCTATGTCTCTGTAATTTTTTGACAGTTTTCAGCTTATTTTATCTGTTGGAAGGTATAGAAGGCTTCCATTCTTTCTCTCTTCTCATTCCCTACTGGCTTCCTCTTTTTTCTGTTTCCTTTTCTTAATACATCTGGAAAGAGGCACGGGATGTAGGAATATCTTTATATAATGCCTGGTGCAAGCACATTGTGTTATGGATGCATTGGAGAAGAAGGTTGTATACTGTGCAGGGGTGTTTCATTGCCATCATTTTAGCTTTTTCTCTAAGGTCACCAAGCATTTGGGGAGCATGGTTTTGGTGGGCTAGAACAAGAGGATTAGAAGTTTAACCTCACACATGTTATATTTTCCCCCTTGCACAAATATTTCTAGATTGGAAAGAAATTAGGGTTGTTCTGCATCTTGGTCTCTGATGGGACAGCAGAAAAATGCAGTATTGTGTAGGGTTTTTCCTGATATTAAGCAAGCCCTGCTCATCTAAGTGCCTTGTGCAGAGGCATTTAAGTGCCATCTTACAAGTAAAATGATTCTTTTCCTCCCATCTCTCCACTTTGTCGGTCATGTATAGGGAAAACAACTTGCATGGAAGGTAGGTGGTTCCCCAGTCAGAAACGGATTGATAATGTAAGAGTCTTGTGGCACCTTTAAGATGAACAAATACATTTTGGCATAGGCTTCCGTAGACACTGTCTACTCTATCAGGTGCAGCTGATGAAATGGATAGTATCCTTGAAAGAATAAATGTGTGTGTCTTTAAGGTGCCACAAAACTATTAAATTGTTTCTGTTGTTCATTATGAACAGAGGAAGCTCCCTTAAACTTGGTCAAACTATTTTTCCATCAAGCCAGTTTTATCTACTCTGATAAGCAACAGAAGTCTTTTATATCACTTGATCTTTTTAATCGGAGATGTTAAAGGTTGATTCTGGAAGCTTCTATATGCAGAGCATGTGCTCTAGCACTGAGTAAGAGTTCCTCCCCCATGGGCAAGCATGAACAAAAACTCTGCTTATCTCACTAAAATCCTGCCACCCAGAAAACTAAACTAACTGAAAATGGAATATACTACTAAACATTTGCAGTGAATATACAAACATAGTTTTAGCTTAATTAGACTCATGATTGAAGGTTATAGGTAAGAAACATCCCACTCATTATCCGTGGAAGTGGTGACAGTGTACTTAAGACAGTTGCTCCAAGCTAGGCCCTTTACCATGACTGTAAAACAGGACACTGTGGCTCAGGGAAGATGGCTTTTGAAGCTTGAGAGAACAGGTTTTAAATTTCTGTCCACTGGATGTGTTTAATCTACTTGACCATTTTTGCCTGTTAAAGGTTATGCTCATACCACTAAGGAATAGTTTTCAAAATAATGTTATGAATGCTCTGTATTGGACATGGAATGCCATAATCTGTGGGCACCTCTGCCCATGTTGTACAACTCATGGTTCAAGGCATGGGTATGCCAAGATGAGACGGACCTCCTGTGTCACTGCTGCTTTGCGCAGATGTGCTTACCTGCACATCCTCCTGCGCATGCAGATTGTGGGCTTCACAACAAATGGTTCCTCTGGGTTGCAGGTTTTAGCGGCACTTACTGTGAGATCAACATCAATGAATGTGAGAGTAATCCCTGTGTCAATGGTGGTGACTGCAAAGATACTGTCAATGGATTCAGCTGCACCTGTCCCTCAGGTAAGCCCAGATCTTTTGCTAACAAGATATTCTCTCTCACCTTTCACTGGGAGAAAAATGGAGCTGGATCACTCTCTTCCTCTCCTCCTTTCTGCTAACTCTTGAAATAATGTTTCTGCCCTGTGGATGACATTTTTAATTGTGATTTCATTAAAACAAAGCAACATAAAAATAAAAAGCATAATGGAAAATAATCATTTAACCCTCCCCCTGAAATTAACAATGGCTGATATTTAAATATCCAAATAACATATCCAGGTGTATCAGTTATGCATAAGCTTCAAGAATATGTCCATTTTAGAGTGGTGTCTGTATGTCATCCACTCAAATACTGAAAGCATCATTAGGTCTTTGATCCATTATATTATAGAAGATAAGCTTCTTTTTATTGTACTATCAGTCTAAAGGGTGCAAAAAATCCATTTGCATTGACCAAGTTTAAAGTTCCTAGATAAGGAGATAACATATGGAAAATATCAAAGACTATTCTGATACAAAGTTTATCTGTATTATAACTTGTACCCAAAAGAGGCAAGACATTGTCAAAACAAATAATTAGAAGTGTTGAACTTTTTGAACCCATTTTTTTGACAGAGCTCCTTCCCGGGTTACTTGAAGGGGCTCTGCTATGTGAGTACAGCAGAAGTATGCCCTGTTGTCACCTGGAGAAGGTTGAGAAACATCTGTCTTTTTTGCAACCAGTCTAGTATATATCCCTCCACTGCTTCTCCTGATGTTGGAGAATGCCTGCCCCTTGTGTGAACTCAGCTGTGTGTGCTGAATTTGGGCTTTAACGAAGAGTTGTACTGCAGTTTTTCATGAGCTTACACTGCCCCTTGTGCTTTCTCTCATCTCTTGCACTGTGATGCAATTTGTACAGCTTCTTGCAGAGCCAGGAGCCTTGTCTGGGGTGTTCTTGTCAGTGCCTGGGACACCTCTGCAATCCTGGGGAGATGCAGTCAACTTATTCCCCAGGACCTGCCCAGCCTTTCTGCTACCAAGCGGATGGGGGGCCCTGCCCGCCATTCAGTTACTTCCAGAGCTGATTGACAGACAGGCCTATAGCTTGCTGTGTGGGAGCCAGGACAATGGCATCTTTGTTCCCCCAGCCTGTCACACAGGCCCCTGAACCCAATTTACATGTGGGGCAGACACCGCAAAGCCCCCTGCGGAGAGGAGGGGGAGAGGCCTTGGGAGCCTTTACTGTAGGCCTCTGGTGGTAGGGTTAGGCTGTGCAAGTGAGTTGGAACTTGAGGAGGCCTGTCCTGCAGCGTTTCTCCTCCTCCCAATGCAAAGCTATTCCCCCTTTTCTACTTGAAACTTCCAAGCTGTCCATTTATACAGACTTGATGTACGATCTTCAGCTTGCCTGAGAACTGGCATAAACTGACCCTTTTGCCAATGTGGTGCCTTTTCCAGATATACCTTTAAAGTTTTCTCTTCCCTATAATCTCTGGGAGCTGCTGGGGAGACAAGTATATCCAACTTACCTGGGAAATAAGAAGTAGCTATATGGGCAGCACTTATACTCTTTCTAGCATTTCCACACTTTCCTGGGCTTCCACTCAGTTATTGGCTCCTTTATACATATAATTTTCAGGCATCAGTGTGATGATCACAAGTGCTGTTTCTCTGTGCATTGGTGGGATGTTCTATTTGTGTGTGACTCAAGAGATACACAGAAAGACACGGCTGGAATGGGTGCATGCTTCCCTTTATTGCTTGTCCCCTGGTTTGACCCTTTCTCTTTCTGGGTTCAGGCTTCTCAGGCTCAATGTGCCAGATTGACATTGATGAATGTGCCAGTACGCCATGCCAGAATGGTGCCAAATGTGTGGACCGGCCCAATGCCTATGAGTGCCGTTGTACAGAAGGTGATTATGTACTCCAGTGATTTATGATCTTTGCTGCTTGGGCAAGGAGGGGTTTTCTAAGTCAAGGGAAACTGCTGCAGCTTTGATAGGAATATTAGAGCGTGGCACTGTAAGGGGAAATGATCCCCAAATTATCCTTCACATCTACCTTTCTTGGGAAAACCCACTGTGCCTTTTTTGAGATGTTCAGGCTCGGTGTGAAACGGGTCCTCTGCGCTACCCATCATCCTTTCCCTGTAAGCTACCCTGTTCATTTCAGTGTGAGCTGCCTAAAGACTCAGGGCAAGTATGAAGTGAATTGGGCCTGACTGAAAGATAAGTTCTGGTTTTGGGGATTGAGCCTTGGGTAAAACTTCCTTTTCCTGATCCTGAGGTAGCTGTGGAAGCTAACCTGATTCTTGCAGAAGTACTATTTTGATGAATATAGAATGCAAGGTTGCTATATTTTCAAAGCCAAGGGAACTTACTGAATTTATAGCAGAATGCTGTTATGGTTTATGCTGTCATCACATCACAAACAATGCTAATATTCCTCTCAGTAAAGGAACATGGGACTGGAGATGGCAGGATTTTTAGCAGACTGCAAGAACCTCATCTTGCTTACTTCTGAGTAAGCTTAAAACCAGTAGCAATCACATTTGGGACCCATCCACTTTGCCTTTGGACATGCCCACAGTTGGAATGTCCCCATCTCCTGCCCCTGGCCAGATGGGAATCCATCCCTTGTGCTGAGTGTGGTTCTTCAGTGTAGTCACAGACAGAATTGCTGCTGGGTTTGTGAGAAAAGGAAGCTGGAATGAAGCCTATTTCATACATCAAGGAGAATGGAGTGATAGAGTACTCCTCTTTGCTTTTGAAGTTTCTTAATCAGTCTACCTCAATTGCCTGATAAGCACAAAGGTCCCTCAGTGGCTGCCTAAACAAATAAAATTTTAGATTTCCTTGGAGAGGTCCTGTGAAGCAAATACATACTCAATTTACTTGTGGGGCAACAGCTCTCAGTCTGGAAAGTTCAAGACTGGAACACAGAGCTTTTTCAGTGAAGGGAATACGGAAGGCATTCGCAAGAAGCGAGCATTATTTGGAAAGCTAAATGTGGGTTTTTAGATGCATATTTCAGAGAAATAATAGTTTTTTACAGTGGTGGCTGGTGGAGCCAAAGACTCAGAGGCAGAACCAGCAAGATCTGATTTTCTTCCCATCTTCCTCCATTGCAAAAGTCTTAAGGGCACTTCATCAGTGAATTACAATTACATAATATCTAAGTAAACTTATGCTGGTCTACCTTGCAGGGCTGTTGTAAGGATTATTAAATTATTGCGTGCACTTCAGGCTCTTGATGTGTTATAATGTTATATGTAACTGTAGTTGTATTATAGTAGCTACACCCATAGTTACATAGTATTGAAGTCTTGTGCAGTTAATGCATGCGCTCAAGCAAAATGCAGCTTACAGAGACCCTGTGCAAGAAGAAATGGCCAGCGACAGGGACATGCTTTGGAGCGGTGTGCAAAAGTTGCTGTGACCTGTGCTGATGCCGCCTTTCCCTCTTCCCTTACAGGTTTTGAGGGGACTCTGTGCGAAAGGAACATTGATGACTGCTCACCTGATCCTTGCCACCATGGTACTTGTGTGGATGGCATTGCCAGCTTCACTTGCACATGTGTCGCTGGCTACACTGGGTACCGTTGTGAGAACCAGATCAATGAATGCCACAGCAACCCTTGTCAGCATGGTGGCAAGTGCATTGACTTGGTCAATAAATACCTGTGCCACTGCCAGCAGGGAACCTCAGGTAGGATATTCCTTCTCGCTCCACAGGCAACATTCTTCTTTTCCCCCCACCCCCACCCCTCCATCGCTCAGTGCCAAGTGCCTCCTCACTGTCAGCACTACTGAGCAACCACATGCCATCGACAGCAGTGCAGCCAGGATGCTGTGATGGTGCACGGGAAACTGTAACCATGTCCCCTTCCTTGCACTTTATTTGGTGCTCACCAATGCCGGCCATTCTGCCTGCATCCATGTCAACGTTATGCTCTTCTGCCCAAGGTGCCAACTGTGAAATAAACTTTGATGACTGTGCCAGCAACCCTTGTGATTATGGCATCTGCCGCGATGGCATCAATCGTTACGACTGCATCTGCAAACCTGGCTTCACAGGTGATGGTTGGTCGGGGTTATTGTGGGGGCTGCCAGGGAGGCAGAGGAGAGGAGGGGTTTGGGCAAGAGCGGCCACACTGGCTTAAGAGGTATTGCCGTGGCTGCACTTTTCAGTAGATGGCAGGGCTTGGACTTTGCAGGCAAAACCTGAGGTTGTACTGCTCGGCTCTGGCTGTAAGATTTAATTCTTACCTGCTAGAAGAAACAAAGTTGGAATGATCCAAATGGCCTGAAAGCTGTGAGATGTAACTCTGGCCACTTCTCCTTCCACTTAGGTCCCCTTTGCAACGTCGAGATTAACGAATGTGCATCCAACCCATGCAAGAATGGCGGCACCTGTGTGGATGGTGAAGATGGCTTCTCTTGCCTTTGCCCAGAAGGTTTCCATGATCCACACTGCTATTCAGAGGTGGATGAGTGCAGCAGTAGCCCTTGTGTGCATGGCACATGCCATGATGACATCAATGGGTAAGGGACGACTCCTAGGAGCCAAATCCAGATGGGCGGGCTTTGGGACAAGTTGCTCAGTCCGGAATGGGCTGACTTTGCTCTTGGTGTTGCCCTGAAAGGCTGTGAAGATAAGATTAAGCCAATCACTACAGACTTGTCGAAAGGACTTGGGTTAATACTTCCTTGCAGGGTGCAGGAAATGTTGACTTCATTCTTCCTCTCGTCTTCCCTTTGCAGGTACAGGTGTGAGTGTGAGCCAGGTTGGGCTGGTACCAACTGCGATGTGAACCGCAATGAGTGTGAATCCAATCCATGCCAGCATGGCGGCACCTGCACTGACTACGTCAATGGCTATCGCTGCAAGTGCAAAGATGGCTTCCAGGGTATGCATCACTCAGGCTTCCTCGCCTTTCTTTCCTCATCCATAACTTTGCCCCAAAGAGTAACGTGTAACCTCCAATTGCCTCTTCACCAAGTTAAATATCCTACCCACATGTTTTCCTCTCCCCTGCCTCTTGGGTAATACTTCGTCTAATATCAGGCCCTCCTTATGAAGCTTCCAGTTTGGGCTGTTTTGATCTGTATACGATTACAAGCTTCTGTGCTCAGCTTTGTATGCTGTCATCCAGTTACTGTGAATATTATGGAATATCATATGCCTGGGGTTTCTGAGATGATTGCTTGGCTGAGGACACCTTCCCCTCTCCTGATTTTTATTTTTTAAGAAATACACACAAGCAGGGAGGTTTGGCTTGCTGCAAAACAAAATGCTGTCCACTAGCACAACTCTTTATTTGGGTTCAAAAGAGGGGCTTTGTGTTTTGGAGATCTCTGCCTTCTACTTAGATCCTTGGTAATGCTATCTTTGCTTTAGTCTCACCAGTTTAGCTTCTGGTAAATGAATGTTCCATGACCAGTCCGTTCTCTGATGATGACAACCATTTTATGAATGGGCAAGGCATCCCCTGGCAGTCATTTTGTGCAAATACCCATAATCAACTCAGAATTCCAAGTTTGTCACCTGTAGAACAGCGGCTTTTCCTTTTCCTTTCCTCTGGTCCAGCATGGCTAATGTTGAGAGCAGTAGCATCAGATCCCTCTCCCTGGATTGCAGTGCTCATATACGTTTTCCTATCCTTTTTTTCTGCAGGGACATATTGCCAGACCAATATAAATGACTGTGCCTCCAGTCCCTGCCTCAACAAGGGCACCTGCATTGATGGCATTGCCAGCTATACCTGCCACTGTGACTTGCCTTACACTGGTGAATTATGGGCTCCTTGTGGAGGACTTGGTGGGCAAGGGAGGGGTTGCTAAGGTAGTCAGGAAACCCCAGTTCTTAGAAAAATGAATCTCTAGCCCACTGGAAAGAGCCGTACAACAAATTCTTCCTCAACTGGGAAGTTTTCTCCATCCCAGGAGTCTAACTGGGAAAGGAGGAATTGATAAACAATACTTTCTTTGAATACTTTCCAACACAATACTTCGTGTTGGAAACAAAGGATCATGGCTCATAATCATATTTTGCATTTTAAGCATTCACAGGGTTGTTGTGTATGTGCTGTAGAAAAGAATAATGAGAGCAAGAAGCTAATAATTTTGCCTTAGCTTAGGTCTTGTCTGTTCCTCTTTGTAGAATGAGTTCTGCTGATAGTGTTGCAACTTGGTGGAGGAAAAAGAGCTAAGTAATTTGTCATCATTGGTGATATCACAGGCATGAGCCAATAGGTGCCTGTGATATTTGCACAACTATCTAGACAGTTCAAACAGTAACAACATCTGCTAGCTGTAATAAGAAACCGCTTTTTTAAAACAGAAGTATGTTCTAGTTTCAGTGCTTGAAGTTGTGGTATAAATAGTAGTGCTTAATTGAAAGAAGACATCTGGATCTATGCAACTAAAGATTTATTCTATTTTACTTATTTATTGGAAGTATTTTAAACTCAACCCTTATTGTAGGATATTAAGGTATTATGCAACAAGCATAAAAAACCAAATTATGATGCAATATAATACAATAAAGTCATAAATGATCGGTATCAAAACAAATCAGATGCATAGAAGCCACAGTAGGGCAAATCAAAAATAAGCCAGTGTAACACTCTAAAATGCCTAGGCAAATAAGTACATTTAAACTTGGCATGGAAACGGTAGCTACATAAGCAGCAGCTGAGATTCATGAGGGAAGGTATTCCAGAGATGAGATGCCACCTCTTAGGTGCTCCTAGCCGAATTTGTACACAAATGACAAATGACTCGGGAGAAGAGGTTGCTTTGAAAATCTTAAGGCCCTTAAGACTGACAACATATTTGATTTCAGCACTGAAAACAAACTGACAGGGTTCAAATTAAATTGATTGCATTAGTACAAAGAAGAATTCCTTTGATATCACTGGATTTACTGGATGTTGGGCCAGTACAAATCTAAAAAATGAACTGGATGTTCTCTCTCTGCACAGGCCGGAACTGTGAGAATGTGTTGGCCCCCTGCTTTCCTAACCCATGTGAGAACAATGGTGTCTGCGACCACACTCCTGATTACGAGGGCTTTACTTGCGGTTGTGCACCAGGCTGGCAAGGTATGCAAATTCCTTTTATGCTCTTCCTTCAATTCCCTTTTAAATATTGTGGAACCCTACCCTATTAATTGATGTATCCTTGGTTTTGATATTTAAAATTTGTATTTACTCTAATTTTCATGATAGTTTTATGCATTTGGATACTTTTGATTTCATACTGTTCACTACCTCAAATGTCTTTGGCTGGAAATGTAGCAAAGAAATTCCAGAAACTGAAAATAAAATTCTGTAACTGCCTTTATGTATCCCTATAGGTCAGCAATGCCACATTGACATTAACGAATGTGACAGGAACCCGTGTCGAAACAGGGGCACCTGTACCAATCTGCTTGGCAGTTATAGATGTACCTGCCGCCCTGGCTACACAGGCCCCAACTGTGAGATGGACATTGATGACTGCACACCTAGTGAGTTCACCAAGCACTTGGGGCAACAGAAAAAAGAGACTGAGAGCAACTTCCTGCAGACTGCTTCTTGCTGAGATGCTGTGGCAAGGAGAAGTGACTGGAAGTTCCAGGGAGGAATACTCTGTTGCAAGGAGTGGCATGGGGAATTCAGTGCAGAAATGACAACTGGGCAGAGAGCTCAGTTAAGGGAAGTAATATCTGGCTTTCCAAGCTGGTGTCTAAGTCCTATGCTAGTGCAAAGGTTTGTGCCATGCTTTTTGGATTTGTATGGTTGGTCCTTACTTTTACTTGACCAGAAAATTAAAATTTGTGGTCAATTCAAGGGTGTAGACTAGTGATATTTCATGCAAATATCCTTGCTTTTGTTCAAGTATAGCCTGTGTTGCATCATATGTATAATTGCATATTCTCAGTTACCATGGAATGGTGACTGAAGGATGTGAGGGTGAGGGAACAGTTGAGTGAGGGAAAGGGGAATGGAATGAAATGGAATAGAATGTCTTGGAAAAGGGCATGACGAATTGGCTGGAATGCTGAACAAGAGTATTCCCATACTGCAGGCAGGTTCACATATGATTAGAAAACATTTAGTGTTGTGAGCATGGACCTGAGTATAAGCAAAGCAATTGAGCTCAAGCCTCCCCCCTTCTCTTTTGTCCCAGATAGCCAGGGATGGAACTTTAGTTTTCCTTTGAAAGAAAGTTGGTTTCGGATTACACTGGAATCATGGATGCTGTTTAAGCAGGTTCTGGTGAATTAAATTAGCCAGCATAAGAGCCCATAGGTTGAAGTTAGCTTGTTTAACAACTGACTACTGTGTGTTTTAAACTAGGATCTGTGATCCAAATGTAATATTAAACTGGGATTCTTTGAAAGTGAAACTATAAAGTTTGCTGAAGTCTTTTTTCTTGGAGGAGGAGCAAAGTATGAGCCTGATGCATTTTACTGTGGCATATGCAGGCATATCCATCTCTTGCTCAACCATGATTTAGCATGGGTTGGGCAGCTTGCTGGCCTGCAACTCCTGTGATCCCTCTCCACTGGCTGTACTGACTAGATCAGTTCAGCAACATCTGGAGGGCCACAAGTCCTCCCCCCAGTTTACTGTTACATAGAAACCAGCTCATTTTGTCGCATGTCCCACTTGTATTACTTTATAAAATCTGCCAAATTTAGACCTTTTTGGAACTGATTGTAAGTTGTAAGCTAGGCTAAGTTCATGAACTTGATTGCTATTGAAGGTAAGTTAGGTGGACATGAATTGGGACTAAAGTATTTGGATGTAAATAAGACCCTACTAATTTCAGTAATGTTTAGGTATACTCAACCTCTTTTTTGTGGCATTCTCAAAGCAGAGGACTAGAATGTCCTGTCTTCTTTTTAATATAGCAAACTTAGTTTTCTGTATTAGGAGTTCATAGTAAAGGAGATGAGAACTTACACATACCCATCTAAGTATTCCCTTCCCTCCCAACAGATCCTTGCCTGAATGGTGGCTCTTGCCAGGACGGCATCAGCTCTTTCACCTGCACCTGTCTGCCAGGCTTCACAGATGTCCGGTGCGCCACTGAGACCAATGAGTGCCTGAGCAACCCCTGCCGCAATGGGGCTACCTGTACAGACTATGTCAACAGCTACACTTGCTCTTGTGCACCAGGCTGGGCTGGCCTTCACTGTGAGCACAATGTGCAGGACTGCACTGACAGGTGAGCTGGCCAGGATGGTTTATCTTGAGGGACAGTGACTTGTCCGATGGAAAGGAAAACACAATTCAGATTGTTTCGTGGGCATGGCTTGCAGACTGGACATTGAAGCCCCATTCATACAAGCAAGCAGTAGAATGATGGGTGTTATTCAGCAGGGTTGCCTTACTTCTTTACTTTCATATATGTTGAATCTCAGAGCATACTTCCCACTTTTATGGAGTGTTTTCTTTTGTGAAGTCATTTTAGTGCATTCGGCAGCTGCCTTCTCTGCTTTTGAAGACAAACGAGTTCTTATAGGGGATAGAGGCACCATTGCAAAGGGTGAAGTGAGATCTTTTGCAAGAATGTTCAAATGGAGAAGTGGTTCAGGGCTATATCTGGTTCTTTTCAAAAGAGGATCCCGGTCTCTTAACTCTCTTTGTTTTTAACTATTCTTTTGGTGAAAACTGGATTAGCTGTTGATGGCAACACAGAACAACTCTGAAGGAGGGTAAAAATACTAATGAATGGAAACTCATGTAAGATACTCACTGGTCTGATATGCTTAGACTAGATGGGTAGATGTAGCCTCTGTTAAGGGACACTCAGGCAAGATAACCTCATGACTCCTTCATTGCCTTCTGATTCCCTTGTTTCTGCTCTGGCAGTTCCTGCTTCAATGGTGGAACATGCTTGGATGGAGTGAATTCATATGCATGCCACTGCCGTGCCGGCTTCACGGGCTCCCACTGCCAGCATGAAATTGATGAGTGCGAATCACAGCCATGCCTCAATGGTGGCGTCTGCCAGGATGGCGTGCAGTCCTACCGCTGTACCTGTCCCCAGGGCTACACAGGTCCTCAGTGCCAGGTAATCTGCCACAAGCCTCAGCTAAAGGGGCCGAAGGCTGTCTAGGGCTATATTTTGTACAAGTCCAACTTTCACAACCAAGTCTGAACTCACAGGGTTGGATGTAGTACTTGCCCTAATAACCAGACATATAAACTATTCCCAGGCAGGATACAGGACAGAGACACTGAATGGGGTTGGTGTGGGGGAAGGGGTGAGGGTTTCACTGGTATGAGCGGGAAGCCTTTGCTCTGTCTTGACTTGGTCCTGCTCCCTCCAGACCCCACTGGATTTGTGCACTCGCTCCCCCTGCCAGAATGGTGGCCTCTGTGTGCAAACAGGAACCACCTTATCCTGTGATTGTCCTGGAGGCTGGACTGGTCGTTACTGTGACATCCCCAACGTCTCCTGTGAAGTGGTGGCCAGGAACCGAGGTAAGTGTGCCTTCTGTTCTAGGGCCAGTGAAATCAAAATATCCGCTCTTGGTGCTCCAAGAAGAGGTTGTTCTTTGCTCATTAATCCTGCTTACCCGGATTCTGAGTGAAAGTTCCTGGCCAGCAAGCTTGAAGACACATTCTTATTCATTGAGACTTGCCAACATTATCTATCATTTTGTGATTACTGGCTGAGCTGACCCAGGACTTCCAGAGTTGGTGTGGTCTGTGCCACTTCCTTTCAGTGATACTGGTCTTCAGGTTCACTGGAGCTCTAATCAGTATTTCTGATTGCTGTTCCCAGTGATATCCACAGAGGAAATATTTGCAGCCTCTGAAGTTAAATATTCCATGTTTGCTCTGAGTGAAACAAAAGCTGCAAATATGCCTTGATCCAGTGGTAGGTTCAACATTAACAGAAGTAGCAATGTTGTATTTGAAAATCATACTAATTTCAAAATTGTTTGACGCTAGAGACAGGAGAAAAATGATAGCTTGATGGGCCAAGATATAGGGGCAATGAAGAGGTGGTCAGGATTTCATGATCTTGTGCTGTTGACATAGCATGTAGCACCTTTTCTTGGCCTCCTGGAATCCTTTTATTTTACTTATTAAATTTATATTCTACGTTACCACCAAATGGAACTCATGAGGAATATAAACAGGGCAGTTAAATAGAAATGAAAACTATAATCTTGCAAACTTTGGGATAGTTGGTTCCCCCACTCTGAAATGATCTTGAGTTGGAGAGGGAATACCCAAATTGGACGTGCATATAGTAGGCATGTCATGAGTGGAACTGGCTGGAGTCGGGGGTCAGACTAGATGGCCCGGGAGACCCCGTCTGACTCGCTCTGTTTCTGTGTTTCTATGAATACATTCTAGTGCTTTGCCCAAATGCTTGGAGCAAGGTTTTGGGTTCTGTACTTGCAGTTGACTAGCAGTATAAACTAGACAAACATGATTTTGTCTAATCTTCAGTTGGAAGGAAGTGTGGAGGATATGTGGTGTGTGCAGTGCATGTCATTCTCTTTTCCTTGGGACAGGTGTGACCAAGGAGCAAGTGTGTCATTATGGTGGCCGTTGTGTGGATGCTGGCAATACTCACTACTGCATTTGCAAGAAAAGCTACACTGGCAGCTACTGTGAGAGTGAAGTCAACCACTGCCAACACAGCCTATGCCGGAATGGGGGCACCTGTCGCAGTTTTGTGGGAGGATATGTTTGTGAGGTGAGAGATGCCTAGCGAGAGTAGCCAAGGATCCTCTTCAGAGCTTGCAGTTTCATGTAGAGGTGTGGGGGATCTATTTTATTATTAAGTTGCCGTTTGCAGGATGGCCAAGAAACAGTCACAAAAATGAAAGTAAAAAACTGATACAAATCTACAAGTTATTTCTCCAATAATTTATATGAATAAACAAACCCCTGAAAGCACTATTTCTTCCCAAAGATTTGTTCCATTGAGCAGGTCCCTTCATTAAGAAGAATTATAAAGTTGTTCACTTTTCCATTGCTGCAGCTAACTTTAACTTTGCCCGTAACATCTCATGGTTATTCATGCAATTGGTTATTACTTCCGAAACACATTTTGAAATCTGTGTATACTGTTTGTTTCTAGCCACATCATTGTTTCATGTCAGGAATAATAAAATACTTCGCATTGTTTCTTAATATTCTCTGGAATTGTTCCTGTAGTAGCACCAGGAAAGCTCAAGCCAATATACAGAAAGTAATGCGTATGGATGTGGCTAAACAAAAAGGAATATTAATATTAAACTACTCAGAGAATTTAAAAAATGAAAACGGCTATCTAGCTTTCTCAGAAATCCATGATGTTCAGATTATGAGGGGATGTGGAACCTGTGGTCCTCCAGATGTTGTTAGACTTCAACTCCCATCAGAGAGCTTGGCCAGTAAGGAATGATGGGAATTGTAGTTCAACACCTAGAGGGTTGCAGGTTTAACACTAACAATTCCAGTCTCACATGGCAAATGTACCAAACTTCAATATCCATTTAGTCTTTTTTAAACATCCATTTTAAGATTAGAACAAAGCATGACTGGTTATTTTTTGATCCCTTTTAATCGTGAGTGCCACATTTTAGAGTTTGTCACATTGTACTGCATTTTCAGAATTTATGATATAAAAAGTGTCCTAGATACAAGTATCAGCCGACTGGAGACTGCTGACACCCATTTTCAGCAGATGCCAGTGTTACTCATTCTGCCATCCTCTTTTGGATTGTTACATCAGAATGCATGTTTCCATATTTATTATCAATTCTCTTACTGCTCTGTCCAAATGAAATGATAGGTTAAGCTATTTCATAATAACTATATTCCCTATTTGAAGAATTTGAGACAGTTTATAAAAACATTTATTTACATTCTCCTTAAGCTGTGGTAAAGGTAACCAAATGGGTTAGTATAAGTTTGTTCCGTGTAAAGATCTATAGAGCTGTTGCAGAAAAGTCCATACCATAAAATACAGAAGTGGCTCTTTGATTTGGGTTGCTTTTTAGTGAATGCTATATATGAACAATCTGCATGAACAGGAAGGAGCTGCACTGGGCTTTGGGCTTGCACCCTGTCCCTTATCCTCCTTGCAACTAAAAGGAAGCATTTGGAAGTTTTGCTTTTAGTTACCCAAGAATAGTTAACCATGGTGTTTGCCCACTTCAGTCACCATGGTTTGAATGTGGTTTGTTTGAAATTAACCCTAGTTAGTGTTTACTAGTCTATTGTGCTGACAACATGACAAATCACTGTTAATCAAAATGTGAAAATAAAAGTATTGTAGAAGAAGGGGAAGTGTTTAAACCCAAGGCACACTGTGGCGCCTCCCTGCTTGTACACCCTGTGCTAAGCCATGGTTTATACACATGATATGTGAACATGGCCTATATGTGCTGCTGTTTGTTTTTTATTAACCCACACAGTCTTTCAATGTTATGTTTAGAACTTGAAGTAAAACATTAAAAAGAACAGAATAGGCATGATAATTCATGGTTGCTATGGATAGTCATACCTAACCATGAGACCACTAATGTATTCTAACAATAAATGCCAGTCTTAATCTGTTGATACTGTGTGTCATAATTACGTTTATATGATTGTCAAATCAGTCTCTGCATGCCTAATTAAATTTATAAAGTGTAATATTTTACAATCTTCAAATGTTTTAATGGGTTGGTGGCAGAACCTACTTTTTTTTTTCCAAAAAGTTGTCTTCTCTCCTTCAGAAATCTATTTATTTTTTAATACAGTGTTGTTAGAGCTTATAGTTTTTGTAATTGAGGAAATAAGACAGGACTAGCCACAATAACTTCTTATCTATTAATTTAAAATGTTGCCAGAGAGAGGAATGTCTTTGTAAAATTCTTTGCCAAAATGGATAAATCAATTCCTCCTTTCAAAAATAACCTTTTACATTATTGCATGCCTTTTTGGCAACTAAACATAATAAAGCAACCAATAGATGTGACTAATCTATGTTCTTCTCTCTCTCTCCCCCTCCCTCCAGTGCCCACTAGGCTTTGAGGGGGACAACTGTGAGTATGATATTGATGAGTGTCAGTCACACCCCTGCCAGAATGGAGGGACTTGCATCGACCTCATTGGTCACTACATATGTTCCTGCCCACCGGGAACTCTGGGTAAGTGGCAGCTCTTGGGGTAGGGAAATCCTTGCTGTGTGAAGAATGTTATTTTTAGCAGGACTATACAAAAAGGAGGAGGAGTGCAGTGTTGAGTCAGACTCTGACTTGAGCAGTGTGAGGAGGATCTCTGCATTTCTGTTCAGGGTGCGGAATGGAGAATAGTGAGTTTTGCCAAGGCAGTTTTGAAGGAAGGCAACCTCAGAATCGATCCCTCTCGGGCAGGTGTGGGCAACCTGTGACCCCCCCCCCCCCAGATGTTTTTGGACTCCAACCCCAGCCAGCCTGGGCAATGGGCAGGGTTGATAAGAGCAGTGGCCAGCAGCTTTGGGAGGGCCACAGGGTTGCCCAACTTTGCCCCACAGGAAAGCACTAGCCTGTGGTAGGGGACAATAATAGATAAATAATGACTTCTACATGCAGTTCAAGGGACTGGAGGGGTAGGCCTGGGTTTCCTAGTGGTCGGATGCTGTTCCATGACATGTGTTTTAAATCTCTGCAGGTGTCTTATGTGAAATAAACGAGGATGATTGTGCCCCAAATCCCACCAGCCGCACCCCAAAATGCCTCAACAATGGGACCTGCATGGACAGAGTGGGTGGTTACTGGTGCAGCTGCCCTCCAGGCTTTACGGGCGAGCGATGCGAGGGAGACATAAATGAGTGCCAGTCCAACCACTGCCACCCTCGCAACACACTCGACTGTGTTCAGGAAGCCAGCGATTACCAGTGCATCTGCAAGCCAGGCTATACTGGTGAGTGAGAGGGCAGGCTGGGGGTGTATGTGAAGGGCAGGAAGAGTGCATGAGTAGAGCTAAAGCGGTGGGTAGGGGAGCCGAAATAAAGTAAAGAATGGGGGGGTTGGGTAAGAGGATGTTTGGCCATTGTGCTAAACTGTTGAGGAGCTGTGTGAAAGGGTGAGAGGACTATTCTCGGCAGGTCCCTTTAGGCCAGCGGTTCCAAACCTTTCCTATGTCCTGCACCCCAGAAGTTGTTTGATTTATGTTCATACCCCACCAAAAGTAAATTTGAGGACGAAGAAGTCAAATTTCTAATTTTTGAACCAAAAATTGAGCCTCATACAGTACTGCGGATGAACAAATTGAATTAAAAAAAGCTTTTGACTCAGTGCATAAAATTCAAATAGCAGCTGAGCAATTAGAAAAAATTATAAACACTAAAATCAGTCCCAATTGTGAACATAAAGTTCAGTTTTTGTCTTGACAAAAGAGAACTGAATCCAAATGCAAACAAAATAATAAATTCATTACGAGTATAATTTTGGCGAAGAACATTATGATTCACCAGTTTTGGTGAATCATGACACAGCCTTGCACTCCCTGAAATGCCATCCCCCACCTATTGGGGGTGCAGTCACCCCAGGTTGGGAACTCTTGCTTTAGGCCATGGGCATACTTATACCTTTCTACACAGGTGACTTAGCAAGTGGTCTTACAGTTTTACATCCCAAGCCCAAGATTCCCTGGGAGACCCTCAGCTAGCTATGCAGCTGCAAAAATGACAAATGAGCATATAGGGCTGCCTTTGGGAGCTGTGATTGATGTAGGTTCTGGTTTCTTTAGAGTTGCCCTGTTGGGGTAGCAGACTCAAACACATTCACCAGCAAAGAAGCTCATATATTTGACTAAATGAGAAAGTTACATATTATAACTATTTAATGTGAGTGTTGCAACAGGAGAGGAAAAAAAATGGCCTGTGTCTTTGCTGTCGCGGAGCTGCTAGAATCATTAATCAGCCCTTTGCGGTCTTCAATGTAAGCCATCACTTGCAGGGCAAAGTTGTGTTGGGAACTGTTGTCTCTCTGCTGTGCCACCAGTCCCATGTGGTAGATTTGCTTTTCCACTTGCTCCAACTCCCCGTATAATGCTAGCCCTCGTGTTCTCTGACATCCTGTTGTACTTTTCATGCTGGATGCTTAGCATTCTTAGCTCTGTGGGAGATTTTTAGCTTGGCATGATTGCTTCTACTGTAGTGTCTTGCCGCAGTAACAGAAGTGCAATGATAATATCTTACAGCTGTGTTGTATTAATATAGCAGGGGTGGGCAATCGTGGTTTTCCAGATGTTTTGGCTTACAACTCCCATAATCTCTAGCCAGCTTAGCCACATAGTGAGGGAGCATGGGAGTTGTAGGCCAAAACATCTGGAGGTCTATAGCTTGCCTCCCCGATGTTATAGCAGCTGAATCCCAAATTGTTATGTACCTACAATGTTCTGAAGTGATGGTGATGGTGTTCCTAGCTATGTTCTGATGGAGTGTTTGGGGCATTATGGATAAAACATGGCCGGTGATACTCTTACTCTTCTCTGCAGGCCGCCACTGCAAGAATATTGTGAACGCATGTGAGTCTCAGCCTTGCCAGAATGGTGGCCAGTGCAAGCTAGCAGTGAACTTGCCTCTAGGATACACCTGCCATTGCCCTCGGGTAAGTGGCCCAGGGCACAGCTGTGCACCAGAAGGGGTTAACGTATCTCCTGTACATGCACCAGGACTGTGCAGGCATTAGGGATATGAGGCTATGGAGGGGAGGGCAAGGTGAGGGAAATGTAAGGTGGATGTCTTGAAGCTGCGGTAGGAATGAATTTCAGTAACGCTGGGAAACCGTTTTTTCATTGAGATGCTTGTTGTGGTTTTGTTCCTATGTTTTGACTTGGTAGGGAGCACAGTGTTCTCTACTGGAACGCTTAACTATGGGGAGAAACAATTCTAACGCATGTTCTTGTTTGATTATGGTTTTGATTCCCGCAAGAGAAGTGAGGTGCAGTATAGCTGCACATAGTGGAGTTCCAGTGCAGCTAATGAGGGGGAGAGCGCTGGTACGCTTGTTCCCAGTGGCATGATGAGGTCATTGGTGAGACACGGGCTGGATCCTGTGTAAGGGAGCTAGATGGGCCCCTGGTCTGATCCAGCATGACTCTTTTTCCGTTCTTAAGAATGTTCTTCTCAGTGTGAGGGTTGTAGGTTTGAGGGAGACTTTGTGTTACAACACTAGCATTTGGAAGGTGTCCTGGATTTACCTGGCTTTCCTGTACTAATGTCTCTTACTGTCTCCTTCCAGAGCTATTCAGGCCTCAACTGTGAACGCAGCGTGCTCTCGTGCCGCGAGCTCTTCTGCTTCAATGGCGGCACCTGCCGGACCTCAGCTCTGGGCGCCCGCTGTTACTGTTTGCATGGGTGGGCTGGCCCTGACTGTCGCCTGCGTGCCAACAGCAGCTGTGCAAGCATGCCCTGCCACAATGGGGGCGCTTGCCATGAGATTGCCGCTCCCCCTTATTTCCAGTGCCTCTGTATGGGCGACTTCTCGGGCCCTCTCTGCCAGACACGCCACATCAAGGCCCCTCAGCCCCCAGAGCTCCATTGCCCGCTGGAGGAGTGCGCGGCAAAGGCTGGAGACGCCTACTGCGACAAGATGTGCAACAGCCCAGCCTGCCACTGGGATGGGGGTGACTGCTCCCTGCTGGTAGATGACCCCTGGAAGCAGTGCGACAGACCCCAGTGCTGGCAGTACTTCAACAACAGCCAGTGCGATGAGCAGTGCAACACCGTCAAGTGCCTCTACGATAACTTTGACTGCAGGAGCCGCGAACGAACCTGCAAGTGAGTCCTGCCTCAGCATCACAGGGAGGGGGCTATCATGTGCATATTATACCACAGTCTCCTGATAACAACAAAATGTTAGGCGCAGATCAACCAAACAAAAGATCGAGCCTTCCTCTCTTGAGTAGAGGGATGCTGTGCTTCAGGCCTCTACTTATTGCCTGACCCCCAAGACATATCTCTTTCTAGAGGTCCCCATGTTCCAGTCCTAACATTGGCAAGTCTCTGTGCTGGGTCTTGGGACTGTACGTAGATGTAATCCCCTTTTTGTGGTTTTCCCGCACAAGAGACTAGCAGTGCACAAGTGAGCCGTATTCTGGGCTGGCACAGGGTCTGTTTTGGCCACAGCTGATATACTTTGCTCTCCTCCTCCTCCTGCAGCCCTGTTTATGAACAATACTGCTCAGATCACTTTGCCGATGGGCGTTGTGACCAGGGCTGCAACACTGAAGAATGTGGCTGGGATGGGCTGGATTGTGCCAGGGAAGTGCCCGAACATTTGGCAAGCGGTGTTTTGGTCATCACCGTGTTGCTGCATCCTGACGAGCTGCTCCGCACAAGCACCATCTTCCTGCAGAAACTGAGTGCCATTTTGCGAACCTCTCTGCGCTTCCGCCTCGATGAGAATGGCAACTATATGATCAAACCATATTATGGGGCTGGAGGTCGAAGACGCAGGGAACTGGACCGAGATATTATCGGGTGAGTTACACTGAGGAGCCAGAGGGAAGAAAGGGATTTGGGAAGCTGGCTAAATGAGCTGCTGGTTAAGGGAGGCATGTAAAGGGCGTAAATGGTAAAGAGAAACAGTTCAGCAGAGCTCATTCCCCAGCTGCTTTGCACAAAGAAGATGTACAGGGCCAGCCCTTCCATTTGACAGAGCAAAGCAGCTATTCCAGGTGGCAGGGAGGGGTTGTGAAAGGTTGGGGAGCAGAGCTGGGTGTGCCACATGGCTTGCCCCACATGCCTTCAGCAGGCTTGCTGCTTTCAGATACAACAGCAGATGCTCATCACTCTCAAAATAAGATTTAGCTGCCAGTTTGATCAGCTTCTGTGCATCTTATCTCTGGCAGCAAAATATGCTGGGCTGGTCTTGGAACTGAACTATACATCCAACAACCCTTAGGAAATACTGCAAATCAGAGTGACCAGAATATGTTCTAGAGCCAAATGTTGGATTTTACTATGATGGATTAGTGTAATTAGACAAAGATTTATCCAAGTATTCTCAGAGAACTCCAGTATATTACTCAACCAGTGCCTCTTTATTTGATTTGTCTGTCAAATTACTAGAAAGTGGATAATGAGACTCCTTTTAAAAATTCACATTGAAAAAAGCAAGTTTCTGAGCTGATGCTAGATCATTGGAGGCCTGATGGTGATCCCGAACAAATGGACAGCATACAATGTTACAAACAAACGGGATCAGTTGCGTTAAGGGTGAGCTGGCTTGCCTTTAGTAAAGGAACATCGTGCCTCACAAATCAGTTACATGCTAAGCAATATTTTATTTATTTATTTAAAACATTTCTATGCCGCCCCCCCTCCATTGCAACAAAGCCTTGGGGCGGCTCACAACATCTGTAAACATAAAAATACTCTTGGGGTTAATGGTGATCTTCTCCAAATTGTGTCCAGGGCTTGTCAGACACGAGGTGAAATTGGAATGCAGCTCTTTGTCAAGTTGGCTGCCTTGCCTTGCCTTGGAATGACGTGTGAGGCTAGAGGAGGTGCTGTTAGCCATTGTAACCCCCCCCCCCCCTTTCTCCAGGTCTGAAGTTACTCTTGAGATTGATAACCGCCTCTGCTACCAAGCTTCTGACAAGTGCTTCCCTGATGCGCAGAGTGCTGCTGACTACCTTGCTGCCTTGTCAGCTGTAGAGCGCCTAGAGTTCCCGTACCCTCTCAAGGCCGTGAGAAGTAAGGCTCCTTCTATGAGCAGGGGAGGCTGGTGGTGGGGGCACTTGATGGAAACATTTTTTGTCTGGGTTGGCTTTGGCTTTTCCTTTTGCTGTCTGGCATTCATAGCAAGTCACTGAGTAGCCTGCTGTTGCTTCTGCAGGTGAGACTATTGCTGATGGGTTGGACTCACTCAAGCTGGTGCCGTTGCTCGTAGTAGCAGCCCTGATTCTCCTGGTGATCTTGGTGCTGGGTGTGTTGGTGGCACGGCGCAAAAGAGAGCACAGCACCCTCTGGTTTCCGGAGGGCTTCAGTCTGAAGAAAGAAAACATCAACAAGAATCGGCGTGAGCCCGTGGGCCAGGATGCGCTGGGCATGAAGTAAGGGGCTCTCATTCACCCTGGTGCTGCCCACAGCCAGTCTCCAATCTCTGTAGCAGAGACCTGCAAATGCTTTCACAAAATCACCTCAAAAGTACTCACCTCCTAGGAGGTTGGCAGCCTGCATTTCTGTGCTGGCTGTGGAGGAAGACCCCCCCCCCACTTCATAGCTCCTGTGGCTGCCAAACTTTTAGCAGACTGGAAAACAAATGTGACATCTGCTGAGTGGACTGGCCCGGGAGGGGCACGTTCTTCTGCTCTGCACCCTCGCTGTGCTACGTTTCCATGCTCATTGTGGAGGAAGACACTTTTCTTTCTGTGCAGCAAACACGGGAAGCGAGTGGGCTAGTGGAGGAGGGATCCATTTCTCTGCCAGTGTGCTCATTCATTGGCATGGAGTTCCTGCGTTGTTGAACCACGTGGGAGCTGCAGCAGGCTTGCAGCCACCGCAGAAGAGAGTGCGTTGGGTTTTTCTGTGACTGTATTGCGTTGGCAGCAGTATTTCGGCTCGCTGCAACAGAACTTGCCCTGTTAATGTGTCCATGCATCAGTGGGCTGGGTGGGTGGGCAAAAGCAAGATGGCATAAACTATCTCCTTCACTGTGTATTTTCCTCTCTTGTAGAAACATTGGTAAAGGCGAGAGTTTAATACCAGACAGCTCAGAAGACTGGATAGAAGCAGAGTGCCCAGAGGCCAAGCGCCTAAAGGTAATACCAGCTCTTTTTGCGACTCAAGAACAGACACTGCGAAGAGGGTCCAATTCCTCTCCAGAGCTGTCCTGTTGCCTTCACTCTTCTCACCCTCCCTGGCCTCTTCCTGGTCAGTAATGTTTGCATGGCTCTCTACCAAGCTAACATGGCCCCCGGCCTCTTTGGTGTCTTCCCATAAAGGGTTCTCCAAGCTTTAATGAAGTGATTGGAAGCACCCGTGAATGCAGGCAGAGGTCTTTCAATGCTAATTTACAGACTTGTGTTTTTGTGTGTCAGGTGGAGGAGCCAGCCATAGACTGCGAAGACCCAGTGGACTGCCGGCGGTGGACACAGCACCACTTGGTGGCAGCAGACATCCCTATGCCGCCGTCAATGGCGCTGACGCCGCCCCAGGGTGAATTTGATACTGACTGCATGGACGTAAATGTCCGTGGGCCAGGTGAGTGGCCATCTGGGGTGTTCCATGGGGACTCCCAGCACCAGGACTACATCTAATGTACAGAATTGGGCTCTGACCTTGTCCTTCATGCAACACGCCCCAGCTTGCTTTGCTTCCATCTAAATATATACTGCCTTAGGACAGAATTAAGTACTTTTGTTTGCTTATTTGTTTTTCAAAACTCTTCCTGGGATCTCCTTCCAGATGGTTTCACGCCACTCATGTTGGCTTCCTTTTGTGGTGGTGGCATGGAGACGGATATGGCAGATGAAGAGGAAGCAGATGACTCCTCTGCCAACATCATCTCAGACCTAATATGCCAGGGGGCTAACCTGAGTGCTCAGACAGACCGCACAGGTGAGACTGCACTGCACCTGGCTGCCAGATATGCACGGGCAGATGCTGCCAAGCGTTTGCTGGATGCTGGTGCTGATACCAACGCGCAGGACAACACAGGACGTACGCCACTTCATGCTGCTGTGACTGCTGATGCCCAGGGTGTCTTCCAGGTGAGCTATGTTCTCACGACGCATCTTTTCCCTCCTGGTGGGCCAGTGGAACTTGTTGTACCCACAGTTCCCACGGTTATCATTTGCCTGACTTGCATTAATGGTAACTTAGTTTCCATTTCCAGTGAAGTATCACTGGGACTGTTAACACCTAGGAGTTGGCCTTGTGTCATCAATCCATTATCTGCCTGGGAACACTGTGGAACACATACTTCCTGTTGGGAACATCAGAGCTGTTTTGCTGAGGTGCTTTGGCTGCTGTATTTGGCTTTGCTCCCACCTAATGGCCCACCACTTTTGACAGATCCTGATCCGAAATCGCTCTACAGACTTGGATGCTCGAATGGGGGATGGTTCGACTGCCCTGATCCTGGCAGCGAGATTGGCAGTGGAGGGTATGGTGGAGGAACTGATCGCCAGCCATGCTGATGTCAATGCTGTGGATGAGCTTGGTACGTAGTTGCCAGAGTGACTCAGCTTGTTCCTCAGTTTGGAAAGCTTTATAGCTTGGCTCATTTGTTTTGGCCATTCTCCATTAATGTCTTTATTGTATCAATAATTTATTCGTTTAAGGGTTTTTTAACCCATCATTTAAGGTGCACTGCCCTCACAAGGCAAACTTTGGTATTACAAAAACACGCAATTACAATTACACACACACACACCTATCAGTAGCAGTCACTGCTACTGTTACTGATTTTTAAGGACCAAAAGCAGACTGAAATAAAGGGATTGGTAGGGTGTTGAATCACAAACAGTGCCAAAGCCAGTCATATCTCTCTGATGAGGGAGTTCTGGAGGTGTGAAGTCACTCTTGAAAAAGCCTTGTCCTTATTACTCACCATCCAAATGGCTTTTGCTGGTTGGCCAAGACCTGGTTCTTAAAGCTTAGATAATTTCATACAGGTATAGACTGTCGTTCAGATAATGTAGTCCCAAACAATTCAATGTCCCAAAATCAACATCTTGAATTGCTCTCAGAAACTGACAGGCAGCTAGTGTAAATGATACCGAATAGGAGTAACAAGGTCCAAGTGCTTACCTCCACTATTGTTCTAGTCGCTGCCTTCTGTACCATTTTCCACTATGTCCCACTTAAAGCTTTTAGGAAATCTCATAACTGCATATTGCAGACATTCGCCACCTTGATTTTAGAGAGGCGGAGACACAAACAGTGATGCAGACACACTTCCTGAACCTCCAGTCCGATTGTGCTAGATACTCCTTAAGCAGCAGCTTCACTTGGCCATTTCCCTGCCACTTGATCTCTGCCCCTGTTCTCATGTAGTGTCTGTGGATGAGCGTGAGTGGCCAGAACCACTGCTGTGGTAGAATCTTGTGTGCACCCAGGGAGGGAGGAGTTTTTGCACAGGAGGGGAACTGGCTTGTCCACAGGAGGTGCCTTGCTGTTGATCTTAAGAAGTGGAGCACTGAGCTCGCAAGCATGGATAAGCGGGGAGCCATTCTACACAAGAAAGCCGTACCACATAATTTCTGAGAGTAGAGTAGAGGTAATTTCGGATTTTAGAGGTCTCGTGGCTGGCTGCCTGAATATTACCTAGGTGTCCATCCCCATTAACAAAGTAGTTGATTTGCAAGAGGAACTTAGGCTTGTAAAGCTGCAGATGGTCCAATGTTGTTGAGGTATGTAGAACAACCATCTGGCATGGTAGTGAGGAAGAAGATGGTAGCTCAAGATGGAGGAGCACTAGGAGAGCTGGTCTAGTAAAGGCTTCTGGCAGGGTCTGGGAATCACCAATTTGGGAGCAATTGTCTTAATCCTCATTGTGTCATCTCTTGTAGGTAAATCAGCCCTGCACTGGGCAGCAGCTGTCAACAATGTAGAGGCCACAATTGCACTGCTGAAAAATGGGGCTAACAAGGACATGCAGGACAGCAAAGTAAGTTTTTCATTGCTGCTGTTTTCCCTTCTTCGCGTGATGCCTTTGCCATAACTTCAAGAACCCTCGCTGTTCTTCGCCATGGGAAGCTGTTGTCTGGCTAGACCCAGATGGCTTCCTTGCCTGTGGTTATGTCGTGGGGAGATTTAGGAGCAGACAGGGAGTTCTGTGCGATCCTTCGCTGCCCATGTCCTAGAATACTTGTGGCACGTGCTCACCAACCTATCCTCTCTGTGACAGGAGGAGACACCACTGTTCTTGGCAGCCCGGGAAGGCAGTTACGAGGCAGCCAAAATCCTGCTGGATCACTTTGCCAACCGGGAGATCACGGACCACATGGATCGGCTGCCACGCGATGTGGCCCAAGAGCGCCTGCACCACGACATCGTCCGGCTCTTGGATGACTACAACACTGTGCGCAGCCCACAGGGAGCGTTACCGGCGGGCCACTCCCTCTCCCCTCTTATGTGCCCTCCCAATAGCTTCCTGCCCAGCCTCAAGCCCACTCCACAGAGCAAGAAGAGCCGGCGGCCGAGCACCAAGAACGTGGCAGCAGGCAACAGTGCCAGCCTGGCACGGGAGAGCAAAGAGGCCAAGGCACGGGCCAAGAAGCTCAACCTGGAGTGCCAAGGCTCTCTCCTGGAGAGCTCTGTCACCCTGTCCCCTGTTGACTCACTGGACTCCCCATACGTGCCCAACCCTGCCTCGCCTGGGGTCTTCCATACAGCCAGTGCCTCACTGTCAGTACCCTCTACTCCCATGGTCCATGGCATGATGGAAGCACCCTTTGCTGTCAGCTTGGCACGCCTCAGCGACCTGGGGGATGGCGCCCTTCTCTCTATGAACCGCCTTTCGGTGCCCCCCGGCCGCATGGGGCTCAGTCTGGGCATGGTGAGCCCCGTGGCCATGCCATTTGATTGGCATGCCCGTGTCCCCACTTCCCAGTGCCAGCCAATCATAGGAGTGGTGCACCCCGCTGCCTCCCATCCCAACCTCCACCAGCCAGGCCAAGCTTTCCCCCCAGGGCTGCTCCTGCCGAACCACATGGCCATGGGGCACAGCTCTCAGGGGTTGCCCAACCCAGCCCCTTCACATGCCAAGGAGGCAGCCCAGCCCATGCCCCCACCAGCAACAGCCATGCGTGCCAGCCAGCCCGTCTCGCCCCAGGAGGGGCAGGGACAAGGGGCACCACGTGTAGGGCCGCCACAGTACCTGAAGGCCGCCGGGGTGGAGGACTACCCAACCCCACCCTCTCAGCACAGTTACACACAGGGGCAGGACGCCACACCCAAGCACTTCCTTCACCCACCGAGCGAGCACCCCTACCTGACCCCCTCCCCAGAATCCCCGGAGCAGTGGAGCAGCCCCTCCCCACATTCCTTGTCCGACTGGTCCGAGTCCACACCCAGCCCCACTGTCCTGGGGCCAAGCCACACCCAGCTGTCTTCGGCGGAGCCATCCACCAAGATGCAGGTGTTTGCATGAGGAGCTGGGGCTGGAACGGATCCTAGAGGCCTGTGTCTCTCTGTGGCCCCCATTGGGGCCTCTGCCTGCACCTGCCCCTGCCTCACGGGGCCTGTTTCCCCTATTTGTGTTTTTATAAGAAAAAACTCAAGTGTAAAATTTTTTTTAAAAATGCCTGATCTGGGAGAGGAACGGCATGGCCTTCCCATTCCCTCACTGCCAAGGAACCCAGGCTGGCCCTCTATCCCCTCATGTTGCCATGACAACAGGTTTGTGGGGAGTTTTTAAAAAAAATAAAAAATCTTTTTGTATAAACCTGCATTTTATTCCAAACGCTTTATTTTTTACAATGTATTCCATGTCAGGCCGTGTGTGCCACTCTTCCTTCTGTGGGTCTTGTGAGGAGCCTGCACCTTCTGTTCCCCCTCTGCATGGCACCGCCTGTTGAGTCGAGCACCATCTCCCTTCCCACCATGTTGGGGCGGGATTTTGCTTACTGTATTTGCGTACTGGGTACGCGGAGTTAGCCCACACTTGCGTTGCCATCCAGAGGGTTGAGCCCCAATCCTGCCTCGGCCATGCAGGGAGCTCAGCCCCACGGCCGCACCCTCAGACTTGGCACTTCATCACATTCCAGGTTAATTTATTCATCTTGAGTTCTGCAGCATTCCCCTGCCCCTACCCCCACCGAATTCCTGGGTTGCTTTAGCTAATGCTAGCCATTTCCAGAGTATTCTGAGCCACTGTGTTGTTATGCCTGGTCCATACTGACACCGCTTCTCCTTCCTCCAGGGCTGCCTTTGGCCTATGTCAGCAGATACACTTTCCTATTTGGGAAGTTTCTTTTCCCTAGGGTACAGTAGGATCCTGGGGTAGCCACAGACACTACTTTGGCATAAAAGGTACTGAGATAATACAAAACATTTTCCCAGCAGCCAACCACCTACTTTCCTCTTTGCACCCTGTACATTCCAGCTATTCCTGGCTGTAAATACTGCTGGGTGGAGCAGGGGGCCAGCCAGGACCATGGTCTGGCAGTGGCTGCTGCCTCCTGCTCCCGCCTTCCCTCCCTCCCCATGCTGTGTAGTGTAGTGGGGGAATGGCCCTGTCAGCCACCCTCTCTGCCATAGAAGGACCATTTCTAGCTCATTTTAAAACTTTTTTTTAAAAAGAAAATCCAGTGTAAACCAAGTAGCTTTAAAGCAGCTGGGTGCTTTGTGTACAGAGCGGCTTGAGCCGCGGCATAATAAACATAGCTAATAAGGAAACTGCCTCCGCTTCCTCTGTGCGTCATGTATTTTTATTTGATTATTCATAGTTATGGGCTCAGAGTGTGTAACAGTACACTGGGGGAAAAACAGCCCACTCCCACGAATTGGAATTCAAAAGAGATTGCCTTCTTTTCCATCCATCCAGAGCACTATAGTAGTTACTGCAGATCACTAATCAGTATCCTTCCACTATGCCATGTGGCTTGTCCAGCACCCACATAGCTTCTGGACAACCTTTTGTAAGTGGATCTCGAGAGTCTGTTCCACTGCAGGAGGGCTCCATAGACATGCTCAGAAAGACTGGCTCAAGTGATTGAAATAAGTGGTTTCTGAGCCTTGTACCACAAGGGGGATCTTCTGGAAATCATCTTTTCTGCCACAGAAACACTGTCATGTTAGGGCTCACACTTGATTTACATGGGACATTGGCCAGCCTGTTGGGCTTTACTGTCACTCCACATTTAGGGGAGACACACCCAACCCTTCCTCACAGCTCTCATGAACAAGCTGCCTTCAGGGAATCTCATGGAGTGTCCGTCATGTTTCTGAGGAGCACCACAATTTAAACAACGATCAGATTTTATAAACTGAAATAATTGAAAAGTTACTATTGCAGCAAAGTCAAAGCCATAATTCCCTCAAAAACCTCTCTTGTTTTACAACCATTTTTGATTGTCATCCTTGCCTGGATGGTATCTTCATTTGAAGTTTTTGTTACCAAGTCCCTGGAACCAACTGGAGCTTTCCAAACAGTTTATTAATGAACAACACATTACTGGATGTGTTCACCTGAAGAAACTAGTCTAATGTTTCCCAAGATTTAACTCTACGAATGAAATGCAGTCTTGCCTGTGGTAGCACATTGCAAAATTGGAATAGGCCACTTTTCAGCATAAGAAATGCGTAGCCAGAAGTCATGATTTAATCAGGGACTTTGGCAAGACTGTTTGGGTCAGCTGTATTCTTGTGGCTTTGCCTTCCTGTCTGCTTCTGTCCCTCAAACAATGATGTATGCACTTTGCTCTACTTCTTTCCACTTAGCTTCCAAAGTTTCTCCTTGTTTCCCAGCTTCCTTATGTCTTCCCATGCCAATTTGCAATCAGGGTGCCAACTTAAATCTTTCTGAGACTTCAAATGGCAAAAGTTCGTTAAAAAGTGATTGGTAAATGCCATTCAGCTTTCATCTGTCAAAAGGACAGGTTAAATAGATGAAATCAACAATTGGGTGGTAGGGGTAGGAGCATGGGAAAGCAATAACAGTGATGAGCATGTATCTAGAGCTTTAAAAATGTTCAAAATATTTCACACAAAAAATTTTGTGCAAAAAAAAAAACCCCACACAGTAGAAAATAAGGTGGTCAGGTCTCATCCTTGAATTTTTTGTGTTGCTGTGAATTCTGATTGCTCAAGAGAAAGTGGTGCTTTCTTACATCCTGTTGTCCTGGCAATTTGTTCATCTTAGTTGGTATGTTGTGGTTTTCTGGCCCTGGAAATGTTAACAAAGTGAATGGAAAATAATCTGTCTAAACTTAAATCTTGGGGGTTCTGGAGTAATGTTAGCATCTCCCTAAGAGATGCAGCAATGTTACTGGAATTCATGCGAAGAGTGTATTCCAAATGGAAATACATCAGCTTCCAATTATCCCAGGATAGCTTTTGATTCTGCAGAAAAAGATTTGTATCTGGGTGTTGTGGGCCATCCTCTCATCTGAGCTGCTGTTTTCCTATGCAAAAGGTTTGCCGCATTCCTCAAAAGCTGCTCACTACCTTTGGACCTCCTTCCATCAACATGCTTAAGTAAGCAATATTTATTTGAAGAATACAGCAACTATATATAACAGTAGCAGTTAGGCTATATAGACTGTCTCTGAAGCCCAGTTTGGCAACACAGGTTTGATAGCTGGAAGTTATGAAAAACCAGATCCTGTAATGTATCAAAACAGATCATGTCAACAATCTCTACCTTCCCAAACTAATTTATTAGTGATTTTAACTAAGTTTGTTGCACAAACATCTTAAGAAAATTAACTCAGAAAAATGGCATTTTCTTGCTTAGCTAATACTTTCTGGACCATACTAAAAGTTTGCAGTGTAGATAAGGGAGGTATCCTGAAAGTTCTGTTCTGATCCAAATCCCTCACTATTTAAGGCTTTTCAGCCTAGGAAATAATGGTTAGGGATGCTTTGGCTGGGAGGCTGCGCCTAGGACTTCACTAGAGGTACCAGAGAAGTCTTGATGCTCATCTGGTATTACAACTGATATGACAATTTTTCCTCCCATCAGTCTATTCATCATTACTGGCCATTTCTTGAGAAACACAGAGTGAAATGTCCACCAGAAAGGGGAATAGGAACAGATGCAGCAATTAATAGCTAGTCATGAGAACTGGATCTTTCTAGGAAGTGATTCACACTTACTATTTTATAAACGTGGAGAAGGTGGCCCCATAAGGAGAATGTCAAGGGACTTGTTAGAATTCTATTTTACTGTGACTAGTAACACTTAATCAGAGAGAAAGAGGTGGTGGCTGATGATATCACTGCCCTGATGATATCACTGCCTACAAATGTCCAAGGAACTACCTGAGTAGGCCCGGTCCGTTTTTAGTTGAAAGTAGGATGGATATATTTTTTACTCTACAGACTATAGTCCTTTGTTCAAAAAGTCCTTCTGTTAGAAGTGCTGTCCCATCCAAGGCTCATTTAGACCATAAGCAGGGAGAGCCAAGGACATACATTTTCATCCACAACACCAGGACAGGAAACCAAACAGACCTCATACAAGTCACTTGTCACAGCCTTCTCCACTCTGGGTGAATCCAAAGTTAGTAAATAGGATTAAATTCAGGCATGACTAACTGAACTCCCTTGATCTCACTGGGTCTATTCCAAGCATAACTAACTCTGGTTCCTACGTATTCTATTCCTATTTACAGTAATTAATTCTCTCTCTGCACATGCAAATTATATGCTAATCTATGTCATCTTTTTTGGTGATGCATTTCCTCTTTTTTAGTGGAGCAGGAGTGGTTAACTTAGTTGGGATGTAGGATTATGCTCCAAGAAGCCTGCAAAATTCTACCTTTCCCTTAGAAACATTATCCATGCAGTTTTGCCAATCCTTCCTTCGTCTATATAGTGCTGCTTTTTTTGGTTATTTTTTCCAGTTTTTCTTGATACAGCAATTGTTACCACTGTGTGGCAGTAGAGATAGTAAAGTTATTCTAAAGGATTGGGTTTTCTATTTATTACATATATACATACATAAAGTACAAATAATATGACTGTTTAATAATTTAGAGTCTCTTGGCACCTTTAAGAGTGACACATTTATCGTGGGATAAGTTTTTATGAGTTCAAACCTGTTTTCACCAGATAAGTCAAAAAGAAGAGAGCAGGTTAATATATATTCTGAGCACACAGCTGAAGCAGATGGGTGTTTTGTCTTGTTTTGTTTTAAAGAGAGGCACTTAAAGTATATATATTTTCTGAGTAGATTCTACCCCTATGCAGTCACAGCATGTACCTTTTCAAGTGGTTTTCATCCATGAAAGCTGATGTTCCAGTAATTTCTCCTTTGTCATCGTCTTTAGGGTCTTCCTTTCATTTCTATATTGCCAAATAGCCAAAGCTCTCTGTATTAGTTTTTGAGGAAACACAATACTCTTTGGTGTTTTTATTATATTCCTGATATGGCTACCTGCTTTGAAAGATTGTGCCCTCGTTAGACAGATGCCTCCAATCTCAGAAGCTTCCACAAATCCAGTGCCCACCAGACTGTTGCTGGCAGGGTGGGAAGAGCAACCAAGGTGATTTTGGCTTCTTATCCTCCTTTTTGTAAACATTTAATAGTTGTGTTTCTGGTGGGGATGGAGAGGCCACAGGATTTCTCATATCCTGGCCTTTCCGCAGCCCACGAGGGACAACCTCCCCTCACAGACCTTTCCAAGTTGCTCCAAATCTGCTTTTGTGCACTTCAGCAACTACAAAGGAGTGAACAGTGTAATAATACAAAAATAGGCTTGGGTTGACAAAGTGTAATTTGTAATAGGGAGGTGTTTTTCTCTCTTTTCGCCCCCACTTACCTGGAATCTTTCTTCTTGTTCCTGCCCCACCCCCTCCTGCCAGGATGTTGCCTCCCTTTCCCTGGAATTTATTTCTACCCCTTCCCATGTGCCCCAGGATCTCTCCATGCTCATGCCCACCCCACCTGGAATCTTTTCCTAGCCCAGAGCTGCAATTCCCTCACCCGACCCACTGCCTACCTCACCAAAGCCCCGAGGAGGAAGCAAGTGCAGG